TTTGATCAAATTCCGCTTAAGCCGTAGCGCCCAGTTGATCGAATTCAAAGTAGCTTAGCGGTAAAACGGCAACAAAACAAGAACTATTTATATAGAACGGAACGAATGAGTCAGTGTATGAGGCAAATACGCCTTAATGCACCACACCGACCTTGAATATAAGTTAAGCGCATGGCGCATTCTATGAGAGCAGTTGACTACCGTTGAGAGCCTAATAAATCGATGTAGTTATCAAATTAAATTACATTTTTTGGCCTAATGGTAAAAATAGTGGAAAGTGGCGTCATTTGAAGACCAATTAGGTTTAACGTTTAATTTATTGAAGGGAACAAATGCCGCTTGTCTAATGGGCAGCCATGCCGTTCTGAGAACAAATTCACAGTAATATTTAAAACTGCCGTGACGCTTGACAAATTTACTATAATTTCTAGAATTACTGTGCCGCTAAATGACAAAAGTACATATAGAGCAGAGTTCGATACAAAGTAATAAAAAGGACATGATGGATGCAATGAGAATCTCAGGCTTTGATTGCGAATCATGCCAACTGCTGATAAGACAATCACGTGATTATCTAGTTTGTGAAGATGGCAATCAAGTGGAAGGGTCGTTAAGCAGCTTAGTCATAACAGAAAGGAGTTCAGCTATAAGTACTGATAGAAGAGAGGTTCAAGAAAAAGGAGCAAGCGATCAGAGATTAAAGAGAAATGTGCCTGTAAAAGTGTGACAAAATTGCAAACATTCCACACCAGTAAGCCAGTAAGCTAGTCAGAACAGTGTAAAAGTGGTAAAGGAAACGCAGAAATCGGAGAAACATAAGACTCTAAGAAAGTAGGAGGGTCGGACGAGTATGTGGCGATAAAGATTGCATGGGATGGATATTTGGACGAGCTGTCCAAATGTGTGCGCCACTGCGTACAGCTGGCATAAGCTATCTGCGTGCAACGTGTGTAATCTCTGCAGCAGCCTCTAGTGCAACCTAAGGACTTGTCCGCCTTTGAGTGTGTAGTCTTCTACGCCCGTTTTGGTGCCCCTTTTACGCCCTATCAAAGCCGTTTCTCAACCGACAGCGTCAGTTGTGCTATCCTCGGGGATCACGGGTTCAATCTCGGTAGAAATTTCAGAAACCATCCTTAATGCGAACTGAGTCTGAAGGCAATCTTTCCCTTTGCAAAAAAAGTTCCGAAGGCTGCAGTCAGACTTGAACTTTTAGAATTTCCACGAAATATTGCACAATCGATAGCAATAACAGAGTGACAGATGAATGCGGAGCATGTGGCGACAGTTGATTGCTTCATAACGTTCATCGAGAAAAACAAAACAAAAGCAAAGCGAGCATGCTTAGAAATGGAAGATCAAACTCTGATCAAAGTCAAAAGTCTCCTCTAAAGGCACGTACGTGACTGATAAAACTTGACTAAATTTGCTCTGGCGAACAAAACAAATACAGCAGACTCACAAGTTTTGATCACATATTAGTATTCCGTGTCGACTACATATACCTACCCCCTAAACATTTACGGTAATATCGGAGAACATTGCAAAAAGTGCCGACTTTTCGTGATATCGGACATGTGCCATTCACAGATAAGGCGATTCCCGTTCTTATACGAATCCACGTAGACATCAAACATTTTCGGAATTTCTTAGGGCCTAACAAAAACGAAAACAGTGATATTACACTAGAAAAGGTAAAAAGCTGAATGAATTGAACCAAATACGATAACCAAAAGATCAGGAACTGAAGTCTGAACAAGCCAGATAGTTAAAAAATGAACCAGACCGATGGGGCGGTTGTAATGTAATGGCAAACGGCGCTCTATCACACATAAATGGTCCTGGGTTTTAATCCTGGACCGATATGCGCTTAGGCCAATCTAGTCTTTCATCCCTCCGGGGTCGGGTTATTGGTACCAGACTCATCAGGGAGGATGGAAGCACTTCTTTACACTTGGCTGGCTGCTGCAGCTCGATGTCTGGGTCACGTACGCATTCGATACGCCACTACGATTCTGAATGGAAGTCAAATGTGGGGAGCCTATCCCGGGACTGATCAACACCAAAGGCTTCACCAGACTGATGTAGATAATATGTCGCTAGGGTCAGCAACTGAAGCTGTCAAGTTCAAGTACTACAACCTCCAGACAACATGCAGACGAATAACACTGCATGCTTCGAAAACACAACAACTGCCATGTAACTGAGAAGATAACCTTCCGGAAAACGAGCAAAACGCTCGATAAAAATAGATAAGAGGGCCAACAAACAAGCAGACATCAAATATCACCAAATATCTACTAATTGATCATGCATTCAAAAATATTAAACCGCCTAGAACGTTGTAAAAATCCGTTTGGTTAAATAAACGAGTCGTGATAAAAATTAGAACTATAATTATCCGTTCAAAGCAAATTTTATAGTTCTCGGACATTCCCATTAACTACAGATGCAACAACACCTCTTGAAAATGGTAAATCTGTGCGGATCCAGTGTGGGATAAAACATCAAACCGAGCGCGGAGGTTCCTACTCGACCTATTTAAGAAACCAGGGCACCATAGAAATTCTGAATTCAGCCCATTGAAAAGATAGCCGATAGCTCTACATTGCCTTTTTTTTTTAAAATGATGGATGAAGGACTGCGTAAAAGTCATGAGAGCTGGGGGAGTCACCAAAAAGACTTGCCTGTGTACGTATGATACTGTGTCGGCATAGCAGAAGCATTAGGAATCTCATAAATACTAATGTGAACGAATTTTGCATAAATATAAAGTAATAGTGTTACCAAATTGGCGAACCGTGCGGAAAATAACTGCAATGAAATGGACAAGAAGGCTATTGGTCTGTTGAGAATTTTGAAAAATGGTATGTAAGAATGGGCGCACAGGAATTCATAAGACCGGTGGACTTGCGGGAAACAGAAAAAAAAAGAAGAAAAATGATGCTCGCGATACGGCTTAACGAAGTGGGCAAAATTGATTCCGAGAGCTCAAATGAAGCAAAGAAATTTAAAAAACGAAGCAATACGGCTTAATTAAATTGGTGAAATCAATCTCGAAAACTCGAAGCAGAGAAATGCTCGCTTTAAAGGAATCCACGATAAAATAAACGAGAAAATGTCCAAAGAGTTAGAAGCAGAAAAGTTAACACCATTGAGGTGACCTGAATCTTCAGTTTAGTGTTATGAAAAAAGTAAAGAGGAAAAATTAAAATATGTTCATTCTTCTTTGCAATAAAGTTACCACGAACAAATGAGCAGTGAATTGTGAGATCTATAGCGAAAGCATTGAACGTAGTTATGGTTCAAATCCTTTAACGAAAGGTATTCCAACCCATACATCTCTACGATAATTGATGTACTGTTGGCCTGAAAAAAAACATATACTTATAAAATTGGTTCTAGCGATAAGTGGAACAGAAACTTCTGCAAGCAAGTTGGTTAGGCTTGACATAAAGGCTTTTCATACGCTGTTTGGCTGGTGAAACATTCGACCGACATTACCTCTTGCCAAGTAAACTCAAAATCGAATGTTAACTTTGATGAACACCGAAATCATCTTTTTATAACCTTCCGTTATTCTGTATTTATGTTTCGGAACATCTGCCAAACCGACGCTAATCCTAGCTCTTTTCTGGAGTTACTTTTAGAAACGAAAAAATTTTTAACTTAACTTTCTATGTGCCGTCAAACTCTTCAAGGAATCTTAGAGCGGCTCATTCGCATTTTTCTTCCCGATATTCAGGATCGCATCCTAATTAAGAACCCCAAATGATGATTTCCGGTGGCATTCCCTCTCCATGCTTTTTTGATGCCGACGTGATGAACGTGTAGGTCATGTGATGCTTCATACGTCTATTTCCGTCATATTGACGTTGCAGTAAGAAAAACCTCTTTGGTTTGTCTGGTCCTAAGCAATGGAAGCGCCGAAGTCTAACAGCAACAATGAACATTCGCTCACCGAAAAAGTTAATTAAGTCTCTTTCCTCGTCGTAAATTCGTTCATTGAAAAAATGCCAACTGACGTAAGCGTACCCGCACAAACAAAGCGGATTGCAGAGGATCAATTGCGTGCCTATACTCCACATGAACCAACCTGAATCAAAGTTTCTAGTAGGCTTCAAAGAAATAGATGGGAAACTCAAATGGGTGATCATAACGGACCTGTATATCCAGGATGTCGAAGGAAACCATAGATGCCTGTCGTAACAAGACGATGGTCGGGGCGCTTTGATAGTGCTAATCGATGCGTGAAACCGTTTCCTGCATGTAGCATAGCAAGTTTACGAATAACTTCACCACAGAGGCATGCTGCTACTCCCAACATACTGATTGATTGTACTTTTAGGAATGGAGTAAAGTACACCTAAACTGACAAGAATTGAAATTCCATTGGAATGGCCTCCTAGTTTCCTTTCAGTATTTTCGAAAACAATTGCGAGTGTATTTAGGAATTGCAACGAATATGATCCTCGTATTGATACTGTCGCACGAACAATATGCACGACATGGGATCATTTTGAATTCCATTATTTTACCAAAATCGTAACCAAGTAGGTGGTAGGGTATCAGTTTTTAAAGAATTTCAGATTAGAAAAAGATGAAGGCCGAAAGAAGCGCCAAAGTTATCAAATAGGGCATTCGAAGGGTGTTCAAAAGAAAGGTGATAATGGACGCTTTGAAATGCATAAAAGAGCAAGGCAGGCCTCGTTTCTACTGAGAGAAGTATATTCAGCAAGTAAATCAGGCGATTAAGCAGCCAGGACATGGAAGTAATACGCCATGGATTTTCCAGTGCTCCAGGCACGAAACTAACTTTACCATACCACAGATTTCAATTTTGAAAATTTGAAGTGGCATAGGGCTAGCTAACATCACTTATTAAAAACAAACCTCCGAGAAGAATTCTATCCAACTTGCCAAAGCAGCAATCCAGTAAGCCGTAGAGTGATTCAGCAAAAATGAATCCGGTTGAAGAGATCGACGATTTGAAATCGCAGTGAAGAAGAATTCAGAAAAGTGAAAAATCGAAAAAATAAAAGTATAGCAGCAGAACATTGCTACAGGAGTCATCCTCCAATACAGATATAGAGCAACTGATGATCCACATAGCTTAAAAATACATTTGAAAAAGGGTTTGGTTTAAAAAATCGGTCCACTTACCAAGCCAAGAAAAGACGCTTGTGCACTACAAATCGGTTTCTGTCCACTATATCGTCCACTAAAATAGGACGCTGGGATGCAAACAGCTATCGCCAATATTGAGAATTTCGCTCCGGAATACCATGAGAGAAATGCTATAGCAAAACTTCCAGCGAAGTAATTAATGCTCCCTCGAAATTCACTGTCACTCCGATATTGACGAGATAATGATGTCCATGTAACTGGCATCTATAAAAAAAGTTAGATTTCAGTGCTATATCTGTTGAAGTTCTACAAAAACAGAGTCCCGGCAGAATCAAACGAAGGCTCACGTGAATTACTCACATCGAACGACGGAAATCATCCAAGTATATACAAGTGCAAGAAAGTATTGAATCTCACGAGTTTACGAGAAGGGGAAAGATCATATTACTCGAAATAATGATCATTCGAAGGTGTACTTTTGCTTTGCACTAGAAACATACACAGATGATGACTGGCTGAGCAAACACTGTCCGAAGAAATCAAGGGTTTCTGAAGCGGCTAGGGATAAGTAGAAACCCAGTAGCACTTTCCGCACCGAAAGTTGCCCTCACGGTAGTTCGCCGTCAAGGTGTTGAGACGTAAGAGAGTCGATGTTGGATATGATGAAAAACGAATGAATGTGTATAACGTGAAATGTAATTTCAATTCTCACCCAGAATAACTCTAGCTGTCTGCACGCCATGGATGAATTCTGAGCGATAACTTACATTTAAAAGTATTTCAGAGCAGCTACTGATAAGTTGGAAACGATTTTCTCCCAAGGGAGATGTAGGATGAGAAAAACAAGGATACTTCGCGAGTGAGTGCACAAGTTCGCTATCGTCGTGGGTGTACAGACTGAGCTACGATACAAGGATGAAAAAGAGAAAGCGACGAAACCCATTACACAGCTCTATGTGTAATCAGTTATGACTAGTTACACGAAGGAAAAATGATGATTAAGTGATGAGTCACGAAGGTTTACAATGTTCTGTTGTTTCAAGCGACACATACCACAATTTTGAGCTGAGGAACGAAAAAACGAGGATTTTCTTGAAGTTTAGACTTGCTTGCCTAGGCAGACGCCAGATGTGCTGGAAATAAACTGACTGAGCGGATGCAGCAGCAGCTGCTCAACGAGGAAAGCATCAAATCAAAGTTCACGTAGGGAAGAGCTGACTCATAGCAGAAAGATACTGGTGCTGGTGAATGTGTAAAGCTGAAAATTCTGCAGACCCGAAATCGAAATTTTTACCGGTTCTCGATCATGACAGTAACTTTATGCAAAAAACATGAGTCCATCAAAATAACAAAGACTATTGCGAGTAAGACTTACAAGTAATAACTTTTTGAAATTGAGAATCAAGAATGCTTTATGTGCCTATCGGGAAGCACTCACTAGTGCCTATGCAGGCATGAGCTGCATCATCCAGGCTATAAGGAGAAAGACCGCGTGAGAAGCACATGGAAGCAAATCACGTGTGTATGGAATCGAGAACAGGAATGCGATTACGCAGTTCTTTGGAGCGAAATGCTATAAATAAACGCTACCGTCGGATTTCCGGCTCAATGCGGCCGCAATGAATGTATGGAAATTTGTGTCCAATTTGTGAGCGGCCCCGAAATAACAAAGCCTCAATCTAGATTTAGTTGCGCATAAACTTAGCACTCACTATCAAGTGCTTAGAGCCTTTTGGCGTTGATCAACTCCGTTTTGCGTATGATCCCTGCATTCGATTTCCCCCGAAATCGCAGTGGCGAATATGGCCTTTACAATGACTTGGGAAGGCCAATCGGCGTACCAGTCAGTGTTTTGATATTTCCAGACGTTTCTGGCACTAAACCTCCGGCCCAGTGAAGATGGAAGGCCTGCTTAGTGGACGAGTGTTAATTCAGGCCTCAGTCACCGAACCTCCGCACTCATACAATGTATGGGCATCTCTATGTCATGCACTTTTCAAGGTCCCCACCAACCCGCATTTTGCCATGCATAGAAAGCGAGGATAACTATAAAGCACTTGTAAGCCGGAACACGGAAGTGAAACAGATGAGAAAAGTCAAATGATATCCATACTACCCTGTTTTAAGACCAACATTGAAGTGTCATCGTTGGCCACAAACTTCGCTAAACATGCTTTAGTAAGGCAAATAATCAAAGCAACACCAAAAACAGACAACGATTACAAATAAAGGACAGAAACAGCTGGAAGGCGTCCAATGGAAATGGGCGGACGCTGGATTATCGACGCACGTTGTATAGCCGTGCGAGCTTATGCGTAACATCCGCAATCACATCTTTTACATGTAACTTACCGAATCCATTTCTGGAATGTTTTGCCAGCCTCATGTTCATTAAGGGTTTTTATTAGTGAACAGAAAGTAGTTATACAATTAGTCCGGTTGATAGATAAGGAAAATGACATGAATGGCATCAATCTATCTTAAGAAGGCCTCAGTGCACTGTCTAGTTCCTCCTTCCTTGAATATCGGGAGTTCGTGAGAGTACATGGTGTAGCACCAGCCCAAATCCACTTAAATTTGAGAAAACAGCGCTTTCGATGGTATAGGCATGTGCTGCGAAGAACACAAAGTCGCCCGAAAGGGAAGCTCAAAGGAAGCGACCACGGGAGCTAAAAAGAAATGATAATGAGATGTTATCAAGATGGGACTCTACGGAGCCAAGATAATGGCAGAATTCGAAAGGTTCTGCCGTTATCACGGCTCCGTAGAGGCTCTCCTACATGCTACGTATATGAAGCGCCTCAACCAGTGAATCGAAAAAACGCCCCTGAAAAGGCGGCTACCGCAGTAGAGGCGTTTTGAGCAACTTTGAACTCTTACACTTTTCCGTCTAGGCTGTTTTCCGCTTCGATAATTCGGCATATCAGCTCCTCAGGTGCCAAGGTTTCTTAAGCGCAGAGAATTTACAAGATTACACCAATTTTCCAGAAATAATATTCTTATACTCACTACCGGACAACCTACACCTAGCTGCGTACAACCGACGGCGGCAACTGTTGCTTCTGTTTGAGTTACTCCAAAACTGGCAAAGTTAGTGTAGGTGAATTGGATGGGTAAGTTAAAGAACAAAAAGAAACTCGTTGATTGGAGGCAATCCTTGAATTTGTACTATATTGATCCCCCCACATGATCGTAAAGATGTTTTGAATGTCACAAACTTCTATAAACATTTAATTATGCTTGCTCAGTATTTGGCATTGACGTGAGTACTAGCAGATGTAGTATGAGGACCCATCCTTTCAAACTCCAACTTATAAATGAATTCGAATTCGTGGCGCGTTCTGCACGACCTACTGAGTTACACCTAAGAATCTTTTCATTCTAGAAAGCAACAAGTCTATGCTTCACTTCAGAGAAAGTCATTAGATCGAATTTAGCGTCAGATGACGTCGGCAAGGAACTTATTAGATTCACACTCGAGGACGAGGGGCGAAGTCATTTCCTCTGTAGGGAATGTCTTTCGCGTCCTCGAATAGAGCATTGCTAATCTGAAGCCGAGGAGCACCTCCTACGCTGGAAAACTTAATTTCCCGCTTTTACACTACACCTGACTAGGTAAAAACACGCGTCAGAATAACGCCTGATTCACTCTTCTTTTCTATAAAATCTGACGTCAATGAAGACCGTAATTGTTGGCGAATTCGCCCAACTAGGCCTGATCTCGCACTATAAACGTTTTCGTATGCAGTTTGAAGTTTGAACACATTCGCCGCCAGGTAAACACGTAGAGGAATGAAAGAAACCCGTCCTCAAGATTGCTCGGGAAATGAAATAAGCGGAGTTGTATACATTTAAGAGTTATGCCATTTGTGGGGCATGACCAAGACGTATACAGCAGCCGCAACATCCATGGACTCTTCCATTCCTGGAGGTCGGGCTACACTAGATTAAAGCAGAAGCACAGACCCTTATGGGCACCTTTTCCAGATGGTTGCAGTTCTGAACAGATATTCCAAGCTTTACTGAGCTGACTGAACTTTTTCAACGTTCTATATCGGCTTATTTCCGATTTGCAACATGTAAGTTTGCATACAGCTGGAAGGGTCCGTTACAGGTCCTCCTTCACCTCATGCGCTTTGCGTCATGACTCAGCCTCTAAACTCCTCCTAGTTTAAAGACTCCTAGAACTGCATCTCCTTATCTCTCTGATTTGTGCTGTTTGGGATTTTCAATCCAATTGGTTTATCTTTCCCTGAAACACGCCATATAAACGACCTTCATGCAGGAAAGTTCAGGCTAATTACTCGGTCTTCTAATTGACTTGTGTCACCTAACTAGTGCATATGCTAATATAAGTCTTAGGTTTCCTCAAATAATATTAATCTTCAAGCTTACTTGGAATTAATGTATTGATGATCTCCCCTTTTGCCCTGCACTGCTCTTTTCTTTTTCTAATGGCACTGGCATTATTTGGGAATCATTAACGCTTTCTTTAACAGTTATACTTTGTATGTTTGCAGCACCTCTCGTGTATGGTGAAACGACATGAGCTTTATCTCATCATTTTACACTTAAAACATTCCTTACTCCTCATCATCAAACATTCAGCAGCAGGTTATACCTTTTTATCACTTTGTGATACCGTAGAAGTGTGAAAATAAAAATTAAAACCGTAAAATTGTGTACTTGTTCCCTTCAATGCTCATGAATAGTAGGTCGGCCGTTAACCCTGTCCATAATAGTTCTGCAAGCCTCGAATAAGCAAGTCCAGTGAGCGAAGGTCCTTCGCTAGTTACCTCAGCAGCTGAGCAGCTTGAATCGTTCTCAGAAACACTGCTTATCACATGTCATCCATCACCTCATTGGAATTCTTCGACCTGAGGCCAAGAGTCAAGCGAGGCATGCGATTTTTTTGATACAGACCTACAAGGTTGTGTCGGTGATCTTGACATTTATAGCAGAGCAACAAAACAGAACGAGTTAATCACAGAAAAGTATAAATATAGCCGTATATCGACTAGTATAAAGTGAAAGTATTAACCTTTTTGCATGGAAAAAGATTAATAATTCGTAAGCCCTTCCTGAATTCAGCATTCTTATGTGACAGCAAAATGCATATTGAAATGAAAGCATTAATAAGGTAGATATAAATGGAATAATCCGTGGAAAGCCTACTGAGCATTACCAAAAAATCTAGGAAAATAGGGCGTTCACATGGGGCTTGGACCACCGAGAACTGATTCTTATTGTAATTGGTGTAGAAGCAAAAATCCAAGAACATTGAGGTAACTAAGACACACCAGAAGATAGCCTTGGGCTTCATTTCTTAATAGCATGAACAGAATTATTCTGCTGCAGATCGGATTGCAGTGTATCAGATATCATCATTATCAGCACACCCACAAGCACCAAAATCGTGCCTACGTAACTTCGGCGGCTAATCGTTCGTTCACCTAAACAAATGATGTTGGAATTTAAATAACGTGGTTGCCATGTTTATTGATGGCTCAGAGCGAAACTAGTTTTGCAACAGAAACCAAAGTCAGAGTTCACTGCTGGACCAACACTTACTATTCTCGTACCTTAAAGGCACAGTTCGCGATAATTTTGAGTAATCCGTGTGTGGGTCCTAGAACGAATAATTGCAATCTGTATCGCCTCGACACTCGTCTGACGTGACATCGATTGAGAGGCGGAAAGGCCGCGCGAGCCAGTAACAGGGCTTCCACTATGCCCTAACCGTCGAGTTCCTGGGCGTGAAGGGGGTCCTTTCTATTACCCTTGGGGGCCACTGAGAATTCTTAGGGGAAGAAATCATAACCATTTTTATCGTGAACTGTGCCTTTAATCGGAAGCACTGACAGCGTACTCACCGATCAAATGGCCAATAACCGCTGTGAATACGAACTGCAAAGCGTTCACACACGGCACAACTATCGAGACAGGAAAACGTGAAACTAGCATGACGAAGAGTATCTTAAAGAACGCGATCAGGAGAGGGTTATGAAATCCTACAGTCATAAAGAAAGCGCAAGCTACTTCGCATTGTTAGCAAAGGATAAATTTACTAAAATGCAACTTACGGATGCAGTTTGATTGACTATGAAAGGCAACGAAAACCTCCAGTTTAAAAATAAATTCGTGAGATCAATGAAAGGCGCAAGGATACGACGCCAAAATTTCACAGGAGCATTATTCGCTGAAAATAAAAACAGATTATCAAGACGTCACTTAAGAAACACTTGCAGACCTAGCGCTGGTGGAATGCCGAGCCTCAAATTTGTGCGCTATGTAGGAGTGATATTCCATCTATGGGAGATTTAATCGGTCCGCCTCCTTACTATTTAAGCGCGCTTTCCATAAAAATAGAGCTTCGTATGTGATTTGACCGAAACTTTGGATGAGAATGGATATTCGCGATGAAGGCTACCTTATGCTACAACTGAAAACACGCAAGAATTCACGAGTGGCTTTCCTTATCTCAATTTCTCAGAGTCAAACCTAGAATGAAGCAAAGTCAGCCTTTTCCTCCAAACAAATCCAGGGCCAAAATGTGGCTGAAGGAGGAGGGGGGGGGGGGGGGGGGGTGGCCCTTTTCAATCATTGACGGCTGACGTAGAGAACGAAGAGTAGAAAACTTCGCGAGCCCACATGCTGAAGCTCAGGAACGTTTCGTAGCTAACTTCAGCCTATCATCCTAATCAGTAATGGTGAAGAAGAACTGGTTGGAGGTACGGTGCCTCGAATCGACAGTTTTGAAGGAGGATCTCAGCTACAAGAAGGCTACGAAGGAAAGACGTGAAAAAAAAAAGAATGAAGTTCTCAATGGATGAACAAGAAAACTACTGACACTTACCCTTTCTGTTAGCATCAGCAGGTGATTTTGACCCGAGCCGTAGTAATGGATTTGTCGCTCCCCAAAGAAATCCAACTGCCAACATTGACAGTACACATTCTGGCGACCAGCTTGACGAAGACATCAGGAAGTGAGTAACTGTGTGTGTTTACCGTTGTTGTTCAGTGGAATCCTCCATTTTCTGAGGTCAGCAGCAATAAATCAGAAAGTTTTTTTTGAATCAGCAATAAATCAGAAGATCAGGACGAGGTCTTCCCGTAAGCGGTGGCGCTGCGGATTTGCTTTGGAGCGCATTCTTCTAAGTTGACTACTAGTAAGTTACTCTCTACACTGATGGTCTGTTGAACTATTTCCTACTACGCTATTTCTGTCGTATGCTTATTAGTTCGTATTTTTCTCAGGACCATTACTGAGAAGTTACCCTACTATTGATGGACTTTTGAACCCTATTTAGTGATTTATTTGTTTTTGTTGGTCCTTTATTCCTTCCCGCTTTGTTTTTGTTTCTTTTTTCTCTATCTCATCAGCTTTTGATATTCTTTTTGGGTGAATATGTAGTTGGAATCATTGAACCTTTGAATCATTGAATGCTAGAGCGTAGAGGAGGAGTGGTGGCCGTCTTCGTAACATATATTAGTCCTTCATAACGTTTCATTGCAGTGGAACGCTTTTTTTTTCACCTAAGCCGGAACGTAAAAAGCTCCGGGGTGGGTGTGGATATCCAATACTTACCCTACCCAGCTTTTTGCACGACTTAATCACCTCACCCATCCCGAAGCTCCTCCCCTTCCAAGGTGAGGTAAAAAACAATATTCTTTTGGCTAAAAACCATCTCTAAGCCCCAGTAAGGTTGTCTATCCCTCCCGATCTGCGTTCTAGCCTTCAATGCTTCAAAAGGGCGCTGGCCTAAGGTGAATTGGGAGATCCTATACGAAGAAGCAATTCTATAAATTATGCATTGCTCAACTATCACTATAAGCCACGTTTTGGTAAACAAACTGTGAAAATACCTTAAAACGATAGTAAAAATTCATGCTCCACTTCCACTTTAAAGGGTGGGATAGTGACCGCCTTAAATCGTTGCGAGACCACCGGAGCGCACGGAAGGGCTTTCAGCCAATTACAGGACCACACGACGGTGCACTTTCCCGATTGAGCCTTGTGTGTGGTATGCAAACAGTTCCGTTCGGTAGAAGGAACTAAGATTCGAGGTGTGTCGTCATGTCACGGTCGAGCAGGAATTTATTAACCCTGTTTGGTGCTGCATTTTGTAAGAATTTTTTGCTTATTGGCTTTTTTGGTGGTTGCGAGTGTTTTTTTCAGTTGTTTGTACGCTATATCTTTTTAGTGTTGGCTACGTGTCATGCTCTCTATTCTGCTAAGGATGATGTAGTGGAATTGACTGCAGCAAACTTCCGGAGCAAAGTCATAAACAGCGATGAAGTCTGGGTTGTGGAATTCTTTGCACCATGGTACTTTTTTTCTTGTTGTTTTTTCACCTTTATTTTTAGCCGATCCTTATCAAGCCAGGTCTGTTGACTGACTACGTTTGTTTAGTAATGCACAACACTGAAATTACGGCAGGGTAAGGTATTGTTAGGGAAGGACGGTGCGATATTTTGAGTTGTGGCCCGCTAACACTTTAGAAAACAGGCGGAAACCCACTATTTATGTAAGTTTCCGCATGATTCCAGTAAATGGGCAAGAGTGAATGCTTAGGAAGGCAAAGATAACGCGTTTTATGCCCCGCTCTGTGTTGTTGATCGCCAACAGTTTCTAACGATTTTCGCTTTCTCACTCCGAGGGTTTGTTCCCACTGAAATTCTTGCTCTACATGGTAACCTTTATTTGAAAAAAATGAGTGACTCTGAAGGAGAAAGTTTTGATCATAAAATTGTTTGAAGAAGGGAATTGTAAACATAGTGGCCAGCCATTCGTCATACTCACAATGACCTTAAGTTGTTTGAACTAGCCGCCCCCATGGGTTCTTCGAACCAAATTATTTCCGTTAGACTGGACGTATTACAATGGGGAACCGTATAAGGTCACTTTTGAAAAGTAAATATTAATACTTTGGACTTGGTACGATCGGGAAGCATCGGTGTGAAATAATTCAAGGAAGGTCACATTTGGGTAAGGGCGACCTTCGTTAGGTGCGAGAACTCAAAGGCCATTGTACTACCTCCTCCCATTATTTTCGAGTACAATTTGAATTCTTAAATAGGATCGCGCAACTGGGAAACTAAACTTTTTGGATTGAAATGATGTTTATAATCACAGTAAATTTGAATACCCCTATTGGAAAGTTTGTCATCGTGCACAGCAGAATGCAGTTTATCAGATTCCTTTATTTCTGGCCTAATCTTGGTGTGGTCACAAGTAAGATAAGCAGAATATTAAAGCGCTAAGCAGAACCGATGGAAGTCGAAACACTACTTTTTTGGGCTTAACTTCGCTTGCTTCTTTCTCAAGAACTTTACCATAATAGTGAAGAGTTGTCGACCAATCCAGAGTAGTTTACTTTTTAGAAACCAGCACTGAATGAGAGCGATACAAATTAGATCAATGCTTTTCACCCAAAAAGGATATCAAGTTGTGATGATGGTAGGAGCCATGTTTGCGATACGAAACTTTTAATAGTAATATCACTAGGCAATGTACGCGTCTTCCATCCCTCGCGCATGCCGCAGTGATCCAGATTAGTACGGAGCGTTGTGCTAATGTAAATACTGTCTAACCTTCGTCGAAGTTGAACGGTTTGGCCGATGCAGCAACAATTCCCAGTTCTGCGGTATTGGTGTTGATGGTGTTTTCCACATTTCCACAGATTCACAACTTGGGGTCATTGCATTGACCTTCAGAACGGTATTATTTCCGATTTTGATTTCAGGTGTGGTCACTGCAAAAATTTGGTCCCGGAATACAAAAAAGCTGCAACCGCTCTCAAAGGCATTGCAAAAGTGAGTAAATGGCTCAATATCTGCTTCAGTTCATCCTTGATTTTCAAATATTTTTAATGCTCACCGTTTCAGGTTGGAGCCGTAGATATGACTGTTCACGAAAGCTTGGGATCTACCTACCGTGTACAAGGCTTCCCTACAATCAAAATCTTCGCTGCTAATAAGGATAAACCGATCGATTACAACGGTTTGTTCTTCCTCGGCTTTTTCTTTTAATATTTTGGACATATCACAACATTGAGGTTAGAATTGGCGGAGCTTCAACATTACTGAATGATCAGTTGGAACTCTCGATGTTCCAGTGTTTCGATGTCCGCGAAGGGGTCCTCCTATTCAGCTCCAATTTGTTGGAAATTGTCATTTGGGTTAAGAGACCCTATACTGTGCCCACATACTCAGTAACTTTTGAGCATAAGTGTAAGTACTGGAGCTATCTCAGTCTGTAACTTTACCTTCACGTGGTCGGAGGAACGTCGTCTTGTGGTGCGGCTCAGTGTTGTCTAGGAGATCTTTAGAGCAAAGAAAAAGAAAATCATATCACATTCATTTCCATTGTGGCGACCATGAATCTTTCGAATAGCTGAGCATTTTGGTCTCTGGAGCGGTTTACTAGTTTTACTAGTTTTGCAAGGAGCGCTTCTAAACCCTCTTCTGAAAGTGCATGGAGCTGCTGTTTTTTTGTCCACTTCTTGAGTGCCGGGACCAGAAGGGTTTCGTGTGCACCCCTCCCCGTGCGTTCCGTAAAACCGAAGGAAAAATATACTTGTATTGGCTTTTTTCGGGCTCCATAAATATGAAGGAGGGCTGTAGGTAGTCTACATGATGTGTAAAAGAGTTTTGCAAGAGTTCAGGGCACTCTTTATTAAAAAGAAAAACATGCGCGTGCATCAACCATTCGAACCTCCGTGTCACGGCTATCAGTCCGCCGCCCTCCCAACTGGGCAATCGGTGCACTTTCAAGTGCTGCTCGGTTTTCGTATAAAAGCAACAATGTGACGTGACACCTGGGGAAGATGGGCCCGTAACTTTGTTCCCAGTATCGTTTCGCATATTTGAAACCCAGATTTGAGATCAGCGTTCGAACTACTACGTCGGAATACATTTCATCTTGAATGGCCACTGCGACCTGGTATCCTTACCGTCAGATCAGAAAATTCATCTATGTTTGATACATTCTTGTTGTGACGCACGCGTTAATATGCGGAGCCGAACTGGTAATTCATAAAAGACTCTGTTGTCGATTGAAAATAGCTCAACTTAAACCGTATACATGTGAACCGGATACAGAAGCACAAAAAACAACAGAAGAATGGCTTTGAAGCGTAAGATATCTAGGGGACTCTAGGCGTAATTTGGCCTGCTTCAATTCATCACAGTGTTTGATCTCATCAAAATGGTCAAAGTTTTCCGTAGTTCGATGCGTTCTTTTTCGCGCTTGTGTGTTTCTAGCTAGGATAACTTCATGGTAGTGTAAATCCGTTCCTCTTCATGCAGCATATTTTCTATCTAACATATTCAGGAGCCAGAACTGCGCAAGGAATCAGTTCTACTGTGCTTGCTGAAATTAAGAATACCGTGACGTCTCGACTTGAAGGACCTGGGCAAGGCAAAGGAAAAGATGATAGTGGCAGTAAAGGTCGCGGCGATGTCATTGAGCTTACCGATTCTAATTTCGAAAAGGCATGAAAGAGCAGTTCTATGTTTGGAGCTTGTGTTTCAAATTGCTGTGATAATTGGCTCATTTTCAGCTCGTCTTGAACAGCAAAGATCCATGGCTTGTTGAGTTCTTCGCCCCTTGGTGCGGACATTGTAAAAATCTTGAGCCTCATTGGAAAGCAGCTGCTTCACAATTGAAAGGAAAAGTTAAGGTACTTTATTGTTTTTGGTTTGCAAAATTAGAACACATCGAATGCTTTCGAGTAAAACTTGTGCACGCGTCAGAAGAGAGCTCTTTTATCATAATTACGTTGTGTGCTCGAAAGTTGCTAAGTACCAAATTTATTAATGCTATTTGTCCTATCACACATAAAATGGTCGACTAGTTATTCTGAAGACAACGTTGGTTGAATACAGGCGCTCACGACGAGAGCACAGTCGAAAACCATTCATAGCCTACTTGTTCAGTTTGCGCGATCAAGTAGGCTATGAATGGTTTTCAATGACTTCTCTTGATTTTTGGTTCCTCAACTCCTCACTGTGGTTTTTGCTAGTTTTCGCAACGCCGAAGAAACTCCTTGTTGAAGGGATTCCATGATAGTGTTAGTGGTATGACGAAACAGCCCAATTAGTTGGTGACATTCACCTTTTGAAACTAGAAAAATTTATAAATGCAAAACCTGAAGGTTTAGAGTAGAATATCATACTTTTATTTGTTTTTTCTTTCCCAATAGCCCACCTTTTCGTCTTCGCTGAGAAATTTTGTTTTTTTAATCATCTCTGTATTGAAGTTCGATAGCAAACGTGTGAGTCAAATGTTTCTGGTCATTTGTCGAACTCCTGCTCGATACCCAAATTTTTGTTCTGCTTCCATCGCAATCAGAAGCGACGGCTTGTATGGGATAGAATTATTGTTTGACCTAAACATATTTTATTCCAATTATTACTTTTTACTTTTGAAAAAGATGGGCAAACTTGTGTTTCTGCAATGATAGACAAGGCCTTCTAGCTAGGCGCGATGGTTGAAACATCGAATAATTCGTCTATAGCTTTTATCTAACAATCGAGAGAAAAAGTAAGTTTTAAAGGAGAGAGATAGTCAAGAAAAGATGCAAAGATAGACCTACATCATTGCCAAGAATTGAGAAATGAGTGGTTGAAGGATCAAATTTCCATGTTAGAATCGTACTCTGCTTCTACAGCTTACTTAAGCTTGGAGCTCTCGATGCTACTGTTCACACGCTCATGTCAACCAAGTATGGAGTGCGCGGGTTCCCAACGATCAAGTACTTCGCACCTGGCTCGTCGGACACAGATGCTGTTGACTATGACGGAGGTAGAACAACTTCAGACATCGTCAGCTGGGCGGAGTCAAAGGTGAATATTTACAGTATCACCAGGTTTGAAAACCGTTATCTATTTTTGCGCATACGCGCCGTCTACTGCAATGGTCCTCTTCCCCTGCGAATGAAGATTCTTGATCGTCTCTTTTCCTGGATCTCTGGACCTTCTCATTTTCCGTTGAGTTTCCTCCCCTGAGCTACCACGAAAAGAGATCACCAACCTTTGTCTAAACTGTGGTTGTACTTGGGACTCAAGCAACCTATCTCTTGTTCATATATTTGCCTTCTCATTTTTCCTTAAATCTCCTTCTCTGAGCTTCCTTTATTGCAAAAGTAAGCATAGTACTTAATCTATACTGAATCTCTTTCGGATGTTCAACCTCTATTCTGCAAACTCTCCCGCCCCGTCTCATTCGTTAAGCAGAGCTTTCCTCAGCGCGTGCATGACATTTATGGGCTCCGTTTGATTCCAGTCTTGCGCTAAGGGACCAGGTCATCTTTGAAGACCACAATTTGTAAGTCAGATTGTCGTCTGTTGAGGTCGCGATGCCTATTTAGAACTTTTGAATCAGGGGAACTTCTTTTGGAGTCTGAAGTGTGTTTGAGCTTGGATCACACTATTCTTTGGCCTTCCAGACTCTGGAGACAAGGCCATAAGCTTCAAAGAATAGCAGCCGTCATGTATGCCGTAAGAGTACCTAATATGACGTTGGTACGATAAGTGCGATTCTTTGTACTATTCCGCGACTTCCTCCGTGGTTATTTGGCAATTTCATCAAGAACTGACAAAAGGGTTCAGTCTTGGTCATTCAGTCCACGGTTTTAAGCAGTTGTGTCTTAGAAGTATGACTCGAACTAATCGAAAAAGCTTTTCCCAGTTCCACACCTCTTACTTTGCTTCTTATGATGATGTTTGGTGTCTAATTCATTTGCACAAATGCCGATAGTGCTTCTATTGACGTTTTTACAATGACATATGTATAGGCAATGGAAAACCTTCCACCACCTGAGGTTCTACAAATCACGAGCCAGGAAGTTGTGGAAGGTAAATCTCCACTTGTGCTTTCGCACATGTCTGAATAAGCTCATTCGATAATTCAGGGCAGTGCCAGGGCAAGCAGTTATGCGTTTTCGCATTTCTTCCGCACATTCTGGACTGCCAAGCGGAGTGCCGTAACAAGTATCTGAGTATTCTCCGTGCATCAGGCGATTACTTCAAGAAAAATGGCTGGGGGTGAGTTCAGTATTCAATTGGATCAGGCGATTACTAAAAAAAGTGGCTGGGATTAGTTCATGTCAGAGGTATCACTAAGTTGGATTTTTCAGATGGATTTGGACAGAAGGTGCATCGCAACCTAAGCTGGAAGAAGCTTTCGGTGTCGGAGGGTTTGGTTATCCCGCTATGGTAGCTTTGAACCACAGGAAAATGAAATATTCCACGCTCAGGGTATGTTGAAACATGACCTGATTTATCCGTCTTTTAACGATGCTGTCACAGGGATCCTTCGATGACGATGGTATTCGAGAGTTCCTGCGAGACCTTAGTTATGGAAAAGGACAAACTGTAACCATAAAGGTGCATCATGGGTTGCCATTTTCTGTAGAAGTTATTCCATTTGAAAATCTTGCTCATCTCACTTTTGCAGGGTGATGCTCTTCCAACAATTGACAAAGTGGAGCCATGGGATGGAAAGGATGCCCCGCTCCCCGTAGAGGAAGAGATCGATCTTTCTGACGTCGATCTTGAGCATTCGGAATTATAATTAGGCGTACATTTCACTTTGAATGTTTTATTGTTGGGCTGGAAGTTCCATTAGGCATAAATCATTTGGTTAACATATTTATGCTATTTATAACATCTTTCAACATTTTTGCTATTTATATATTGAACATCCAATCCTGCATTGTATCTTCTGTTCTAAGCATTGCTCTTACATTTACAACTGGTCCCGTCATTGTTTTCCTCCAAAGATTTTCTTCTTCTACTCTATTCAACTTTTACTGTGCTCTATTTTTCCTTTTCTCTATTTTTCCTTTTCGTTGGGTAGTTCCAGTCATTTAAGTGTTTTCCTTGTTAGCAACGACCTTAATAGAAGTTGATGTTTATCATAGCATTCAATATTACTCTCGTTTTTGTTGTGGATGAATGAAAATATGGACAACTACCTTTTCAATTTTGGTTTTTCTTCATTCTTAGGCGTCGTGAATTTTCGAAGGGAAACGGACCATTCGAAGAATCAAGTACTAAATACAAAGGGAAGGTGAGTGAAAAGAGAAATCTTACTAAAAGTAAGAAATCGAGGATATGTGATTTCAAACCTGTTTTGGCTCCCGATCGATGACAGTGCTTCCCATGATGAAGTTTCTGGCGTTAATCAATCATCTGAGAGTTGTGCCCCCGCACTCGACTTCCATTCAGAATCGTAGTGGCGTAATGAGGGCATATGTGGCCTATACAATGAATTGCGGCGGCCAGCCGATGTACAGGTCAGTGCTTTTATCCTCCCAGACGAGTCTGGTACCAATTCACCGACCCCGGAGGGATGGGATGCGTGGGTGGCCTAGGCGGATATTGATCTGGGATTCCAACCTGCGACCGTGCATAT